TCTCTGTCTCTCTGTCTCTCTGTCTCTCTGTCTCTCTCTCTCTCTCTCTCTCTCTCTCTCTCTCTCTCTCTCTCTCTCTCTCTGTAGTAACTTTTTCACACAGCGAAGGCATCCATGACTTACGTATCTGCATATCAGAACAATTGATAATGTATATCAGATAAATAATAATCATCGTAATTAATTAATTAGTAAGTTTATAATAATATTGTCCGTGGTTAAGGACGCTGAGAAAAATTCAAACAAAAGTCCGAGCTGCGATTATTATTTTAGGAACTCTAAACGTGCGGATGCCTCCTGAAGATTATCAGGACGAATAATGCTGAGAGAGTCGCGAGGAAGGTTCTTTTCTTATGTTCGTCAATTATCCCGTAGCGATTCGCGTAACATCGGGAGAAATCGCGATCGCTACCTCTGGTATTCGCGAAACCTTCTGATTGTATTATAAAAGACAATTGACAACAGGGAAAAAGAGAATGACCATAAGGAAACGTTAAAAGCCCATATTGGTTGTGAAGAATTTTCTCTTTTTCCTCGTTAAATGCGCTTTCGCAGTTTCACTATTATTTTTCATTCCGCGTACATCCTCGAGAGTGCTTTTCCAACATTTAAGACACTTTGGACACTTTACGGCAGTGAGCACTGGTTGATTTTCCTTTGAAAAGAACGGTCGGCCAATTTATTTTTTTTTTTTTTTTCGTGCTGATATATCTATATATGACAGATACATACGTGTATCTACATATATATATATATATATATGTAAATTATAATAATGACACTCAAGACTTTCTAACCAGTCATTCGCGCATTCTCTCGCATTTCCTCCGACAAAAGTATTATCAACAATTTCACTTTGTCCTCTCCCTCTCTCTCTCTCTCTCTCTCGGTCGTGTTATCTAGAAAATGTTTGTCTCTCTTTTTAGGTTTTCCTTTCTTTCAATCGTTTCGTCACTGTTCAACTTGTTTGTCGCTGTCGTGTATAGTCTTACGTCTCCTACGTGTTTTCTTGATGAACGTGTATTTTGTGTGTTCCTCTTTTTTTTCTATCGTTTCACCTACAGATTACCAATAGTTAACAACGTTACTTTATTAATTTAAATTCTTCGCCAATAATCAACAGCCTAGTATACCAGCAACATATCGCAATCACAATCTTACGAAAATATCCGTTTTACACGCAATGACGAATATCCAGAGGAAAAGCTGGAAACTGCTCTTTCTCGTTTAATAGTTTTATATCGGAATATTCTTTTTCCATTAAAAGAACCAAAAAAAAAAAACAGGTCGCGCTTAGGCCCGAACTACGCATTTAGAAATAATACACTAAATCACCCCTGTCTCTCCCTCTCCCTTCTGTAGTTACAAATTGTGATCGCGATTTTTCAAAATTTATCCTACGCTCCGATGATCAACATAAAGGTCCTATTTACATGAATTAATAATAATATGCATCGATTCGATAATGATCGTAATAATAATAGTAATCGTAATAATAGTAATGAAATAATAAGTCTAGTAATCATGTACCTTTGAACGGTGGCGATCAACGTACCATATTACTTTCTTTCGAATTACATATACGCTCAACGGTCAATCGATTCGAGTTTTCGTAAATACTTCAAAACATCTTTATTTTCGTATTACTCAATAGCATTTGTCAAACAGGAGCCAAAAATCCATTTTATCGGATAAATTTAATCGAGGATCGCCTCACACTCGCCGGTAGTAGAACTTACAGATCTTACCCTCTAAGCTTAACCTAAATCTACACGAAGGCGAAGTTCGCTTATACTACTAATAAATTTGAATAGTAATTTGTACATTCAACAACTTTGCTTTCTTTCAACCTCGCACTTGCGATGCACACAATGAAAATAAAAATTACTCGTATTTGGAGGCTTATGTATAAAAGAAAAAAGAAAAAAAACAACAGTAATTAATTACACGAAACGAAAATAGGAAGTGGAGGAAAGAGGAGAAAAAAAAACAAAAATGAAATTATCAATCGCAATTAAAACAAAACCGTATCTGGCTTGGCGCACAACTGGCCCACTCACGCCTTAGCAAAATTTTTTTTTTCCCATACAGACATATACACACAACATTCGCTCTATCTCTCTCTCTTTCTCTAAGGGTCGACGTGTCTTAGCCAAAAGAAGAAACTTACATGATTTTATATCTTAACGTTTCTTGCTTCTTATTTCTTTTTTTTTTTTTTTCATTTAATCGTTAATCGTAGTAATTAAGTAAGTCTTTGGCGTTTGTACCAATTTTTTCTCATTTATAAACCGACGACAGCACGTTTTTTTTTATTTCTCCCTTTTCTCGCGTTTTCGTAGATAAAAATTTCATCGTAACAGTTCGGACGAAACGACATCGGGAGACCGCGAGTTCGTCGACGACTCGTCGATACGTCAAAAGTGTTGCGGAATCATTTGTGCTCTCTCATGTAATCTATTACGTTCTGTCTCGATAACTTCCTGAAGGATAAAATTTCATCTCAAGAATCGTCAGTCCTCGATCGTCCCACGTGAAAATTCGGAAAACATATTTGGATATTCGACGAGTACGATTCTCGATGACGCAACGTTATCTTGAGTATAAATAAAGTAAAGGATGAAAAAGAAAAAGAAAAAATAAAGAAAATAGTCAGACAGTGCTATAACCTCGTGCGTGATAACTGTTGAAATAAAACGGAAGATATTTATAATTTATTACGAGGAAGATTATCTTGAGCATCAGTTCGAGGCGACCAACGTGGTGATCCTCTTTGAGAAAAAAAAATATTGAAACGGGCCGTAAATACGTCATAATACAGGATTGTGATGCATGAAGATAGTTGACGGCAAAAAAAAGAAATGTCAGTAATCCAAATTCGAAGAGACTTTTAACACGTGTGGACGATGCGTATGCAGTGCGTGTGCCGTAACGCGTATCCATGCATGCTAACAAAGTAAGGAATATTGAGTCTGCCATTAATTAAAAAGTACAAAGAACACAATAATTACGTCATTGTCGGCCGTCGAACGATCCTCTACCTCCGTTGAGCCTGACGCCTTTCATTATCAACTAAATAACCTCTAGGATAAACGACGAGTAACTTCTTGTCTCTCGTTACGCTTGGTATATGCATTATATACAGACAGATATGTGTAAATTTTCACCACACGTTATTATTATTGCTGGATAACATTAGCGACGTCGCGAAGCTCGCAAAAACCCTGAGGTACGAATATTTTATTTTTTTTGGAAAATTGTAGTTGATTCTCATTTTTTTTTTTTCCGTCCTTCTTGCACTCGTTCCGTATAACCGCGATCGTAAAAGTCAATTGTATTTTCGAATCGAATTTCGGAAAATTATCGACAACTGACGTTACTAGCGATTCTTATATCACCGAATACGCTTGACGTAATTTGAATTTCACATATAACGGGATGCCAACGAGACAACTTACGTACCACGTGTGTCCCGTAATTTCGGATTGACACTTGTATATAAAAAAAGGCACATGCCGGCGATCTGCACGCGATGACGGCGTCTCGATTACGTCGTAAATGTTCAAGTCCACGACAGCTCGCTAAAGTCGCTTGTGAATCTCGCGATAACCTCCGCTAGTCGTGATATCGCACGAAACGCTTTTGATTCGATAAAGAGACTTGGGCAATATTTGCGAACTGGGCGCCAGTCTCCTTCCTCATTTCTTAGAATTAATTTTAAGGAGCGTCGAGGAGATTTTTCATGTCACTGGTCGCGGTTATCTTTATCTCTCTTTTTACTTGTCAGCGTTATCCTGTATGCTTGGGTAAACTTTTTGAGTACCTTCGAGATAACTCTAGTATTTCGTTTACATTTACTCCCAATCATCTTTACATATTTATCGATCCAATTAATTAACGTGGAAATCGTTTTTCCTTCGAGGAATCTTCCTAAAGCGTGCCGGACTCCGTCGAAAATATAATCAAGGATCCTGGCAACGTTTTTCTAGATCTTTAAAGATTAATATGTACAAATGTGCGCGTGTATCGACGATCTAACAAGTGAAGATTCTTAACGCATTCTTATCGTACACGTATCGCACCTATCAAAGCCTCCTGCAAATGATTTTCACAAGGTGACGTGTGCTAAACGTAAACCTATATATTCCTGGATCGATCGGTATGGATTTAACGATCATTGTTGGACGTCGATTTGTCCAACGATTACACATAAAATTGGCTTGAGTGGAAGATCAATCGAGGATCGTCCTTAGGATAGGCTGACAAATCCACAAGTGAAAAGAAATACGTAAAGTCGTGAATAACATTATGACAACATGATAGCGCGCTCCAGTTTTCTCACTATCACGAGCATCCCATTTCAGGATCCATCCACAAGATTCCTAAGCGTGAACTTGGGCACAGCAAGAGTAACGAAGGAGCCTGATACCGTAGCTCGTAAATATATAAAGAGGAAGAAATGCGCATCGGCAACGTGACCCAAGCGGATATAGGTAGACGTCAAGGATGCACGGAGTGACGTAAAGGAATGAGAAGAGAGAAATAAAGGAAATAAAGAGCCACGTGATACAATGCGTCCATAAATGGCGGTACTCTCTTTCTCTTTCCCTCTCTCTGTGTATCTTTCTCGTCACTACGTCATTCCATTACGCGTCCTTTAGGAAATTAACAACCTGCTTAACTCTTGGGTGCGCCTCGATATGGCCGAACGTTAAACGACAGTTCCCTCTCGTTCCTTTTCTTGCTGTCGTACCGCAACAGCTGCTTCGACCAAGAGATAGAGACACTTGAACTTGTCCTTATCTTCCTCCGGTGGTGTCGGCGGTGGAGTTTCGTCGGTATGAGGGCTGTGGGTATTGTGCGTACTGTAGACCTCGGTCTCGTGTTGCACGTCGGGGGTTGTTGTCAGATGTTGCCTAGGGGCACTCCAGTACGCAGCTTCGCTCACTGTCGACTCATCCTCATCTCTGAAAAGCAACGTCGAGGAATCCGTTTATTTAGGCTCAACAAGACGCCTCCCTTTGGATAAGATGAATTCCAAGCTAGGAGAGATCCTTCTTATCAAGGGACATATGGATTATATAGGACTTACCCTCGACGTGCTGGATGAGCTATTGCTTCGCCGTAACTCAGTTGATTATTGTGCTCGACTTTGGTTTCAGAATAGGGGTAGACGATTACGCTCGGCCACTGAGTCGACGGACGTTCCTCTTCACTGTGAGAACTGCTCTCATAGTCATTGGGACTGTCATCTTCGCTTCTGAAAAATATTGTCAATAAATATATTTGACTAACTTAATTGTGTCCTTCTTTATCTGATTCAAGGATTTGTTTTGTAATTAGATCAAAATGGTTAGTCCTATTCTTAAAACACTAACCGGTACATGAGTCCTGCAGGATCTTCGTAATCGTGATCCCTACTACGTTTGGGCGCACTCATCCCAGCCAGGGGGTCCCAGTTTTGATTGGCTCTAGGACTCAGACTGGAAGACTGTTGGTGACTACCGCCTGGCATCTTTTTGCCACGCCGGGATATTGTGTACTGAAGAGGATCGTGACCTTCCCTGCGTATCATTTCCGGAAGTATACGTCTCCTCGCGTTTATAAACCAGTTGCAAACCTGAAAATTCATTAGATTCATGTTAGTTGACAATTAAACTACATCGTCAGAATCATAACAGACTTTTTCCCCATGACTATTAATCATCGATTAAAGATATTCACAGGCGGCTGACCAGGAAAAGCTAATAATAAAAAAACTTCTAACTTAAAGTCCTCCCATGAAATATGAGAAAATTACAAGCAAACCTTCCTAACGGAACGTTGCTCTTCCAAAAAGTCAGCTGTCGGATACTTTCATCACTTTCCAAAATGATCCTGCACAGTTAGACTGACACTGATAGAAAGAATTTCACTTTGGTATGATCAACGCATTACGACCTTCGGAATGGCTTTGAACCAGTTCCCTACCGAAACGTCCTTATATACCCCAAGTAGCAAAGGATCTAATACTATTGGAAGGGACACAGCGGTAAACGCGTCAACCCTAAGGAAAGTGAAAACGTGGCTAGTAGTGATGGTAGACGTTTCGCACAACCCCAAGGGTGCATTAAAATACAGCAAACGGCAGGATGGGACCAGGTGCATCCTTGAGCTTTTGTTCCATCGACAAAGCCCCAGACCCTGGGATATCTGACACCCTACCAAGAAACTCATACCTATTCCTTCTACAAATGAACAACCCTCCAGACCCATTGATTATTAATTTCTAATAACCCCAATAAATGCAAAATAAACATTCTGGATCATTGTACTTTATAGACTGGCATATAAATATTTTTATTCAAAAGGATAATGACACATGCAATAATCGTACTGGATTATCAAATACCTCAAGGAATTGACCTAACCCCAATTTAACGACTGTTCTCATTTTCTAGGTATAATAAAACTATTTATTTCATGTTGTGAATATTAAACGGTATATTTATAGCCATTTCCCGACTTTCTTATTGCAATCTTGTAATATTTATATGTTAAATAATCCAAAATACTGTACCTGCAGAACAGTAAGATTTGCTTCCTGGCTAAGGGTGAGTTTCTCACTGTCGCTCGGATAGGCATTGTACCTGTGCTCGTACAGCCATCTCTTCAGTATCTTTACCGAATGCTTCGGTAAATTTCCACGACGTTTTCGTACGGAATGCGTGCCGGAGTGAAGTATTCCGGAATGGGTCTTGCCACGGATTGCAGAGGATTCGTGCTCCACGTCAGATCCGCTTTGATCGTCGTCCGTACTGCTCGACGATGGGAAACGTTCCCTGGCTGTAACGAAAAAAAATATTAAAATTAAAAAAAAAAATAATTTAAAATCTCCACGTATCTCATAACAACCGAATTATTTCCTAATAGCTACAAATAGCATTTTCTGACACGTATTATTAATAAAAAGTGACTAAATTTTGGATTACAATTATGTTTATTAATCCAATAAAACGCCTGTTTCGTATTAACAGCGGAAATATACGGAACGTTAAAATAACAGTCTTAAATACCTGAAAATTATTTACGACGATATTTATTAACTGTTACAGAGTTAACTCGATTGCATTTATTTATGATGACACAAGGGTGCTGTAAGTCAGTCGATACAGGTAATATGAAGTATCTACGATCACAAGAGCTTCCTGACTGCGGCGAAAAAATTCTTTCGCCACAACTCTAAAGTTTCTTTACTCGTCGCTATTTGACCAGCTAAGTAAATACATTTTAGAGTAATCTTTCAATATATTTCTTTATTACTTCCCTCCTTTCCTCCGCCTTCTGTATTGCCACCAAGACTGAGTACCCTGTACCAACCATATATTAATAAAAAAAAAAAACCAACTATATCCAGAATATTGTGAGGGTAGCTTAATGAAGTTAGGCGCGTGTCAATTGATGCCACTTGTGAAACACCACGGCGTCCTCATCTCGACGCTATCTTCTCCCAGTGAAAATGATTCTCTAGATACTTCATACAAGTCACAGAACGTCACTGTGAATAATTGACTCTTGCTCAATTGAACATCTGCATTTACCTAGGCATTAAGAAAAATCAAAGGGCAACGAAGGGAAAGCTCATGAAATTCATGAGAGTTTCTTTCTCCGTCGGTAAAGCAGAGAGAGATATAACTATTCATTTGAACCTGAGGTTAAGCTAGCCAAGGGCCAAAGGCAGGTTTTACATAATCTTAAAGCCTAACAGGAAAGAGAGTGAGACATAGTGCATCGTACACAGAACAAGAAATACGTCTAATTCTATAAAAAGTTGTCCCAAGTTATTAAGATATTCAAGATTTCAAGCAGTTGGTCATTGACTCTGAAATACCGGCTGGCCTCTTACACCCATGGCTAGCGAAAGCCTGAGCGAAGATATAAAACGAGTGACGTCACGCTACGTCGTTCAACGGCAGCAGCCATAAGCCAGTGCGCATTCGTGCACGTGTTAATACGTATATTCGTTTTACTTTCGTTAGGTCGTTCCTCGTGTACGTATGTATAATCACCCTGAAGCGTCCACGTCGTATCAATCAAGAAGCTTTCTCAGTTTTTATCCTCTTCAGATTCGCATTTTGCAGCTCGTATCGAGTCAAGAGGTATAATGAATAACGAATAAAGTGAAAAATGATAAACTAACACGGTGCGTGCCAGACGTCAATTTCTTTCCTTATTCTCTTTGCCGAACGTCCCGTTATAAAGTATTAAGGCAGCAAAAGCCAGGTATCTCCGTAAACGAAACAAACGTGACACTGGGTATGCCGGTTGGAGTTCCAGGAAAGCTTTGAAAAACACTTGGGCCTCTGGCTGGGAATCCTTTGTTGCGCTGTGTACGGTCGGTAGACTTTTAGGTTAGGTTTTCCTAGGGTTTGCCTTACAGCCTTCCAGGTAGAGGTCACGACTTTACGAGCTTCACGGTAACTTGTCGTCTGTAGCTTGACTGGAAGGTCGTGCATGAACGCAACATTGTAGGTTGTTCAATTATGTTGACTGTCGTTTATTGGGTAATGTATATACATATATTGCACGTGTCACTGCTGGTTACGCTACGAATTGTTTAGCCAACGTCAACAGCTCCCGAGACCCTAGAACATAACCTATGTAACGGACATTTTACGCGTGCATATTAAATACAATAAGCAACCTGGTGAGTAAGTATTTTAAATTAAATTTTTTACACTGCTATCCATTGCTTGTAATGACTATTCAATCTGATCGTGTATTTGATAAATTTAGTAGTCGATTGATGTGATCTTAGAATTTCGATGCTATGATTGTTATACATAATCAAACGGTATAAAAAGTTTCCAGGTTATAACGTGGGCGATCTACTTGACAAGGCAGACACGGGCTCCGGAGGAATACCAGAATTTCATATCTAAACTTGTCTGCTACTAGCGAAATCGAAGTAGCCCCTTGACAACGTTCAAAAGCCATTGATCGTTAACCAACCGGCAGCCATTAAAAACGTCATTAGAGACAGGATATACAGGAAGGATCGGTAAGGATTTTCTGTGAAAAAAAAAGGTGAATTATGTCTTTGGGGGGAATAAAAAAATTGTCGTATTATCTTAAAATTCGTGTTTGCAATGTTATTGGTAATGATGCTCAGAGTTCTCGTCCGAGTTGCGAAAGAAAATCGATGGGGAAGGCAGACACGTGCTATATCAACTAGTTATGTAAAGACAGCCAACCAGGCAGGAGTCTAGGTAGGCGAGCCTTGCAGAGACAGTCAAGCAGGCAGTGAACGTATCAACCAGGAGGCAGGCGAAGTACACAGCAAGAAGGCCGGAGGTGGGACCTTGGATCGCACGTGGATCTGTTCTGACGTTTCTTCGGCTGACGTAGAACAGTCAGCGAGGCCATCGGTCTTCACGGCTGTTATTCAAACAATGATATGCCCGGGCCCCGGACTTTGCAAAATTTCTAATCAGACCCTTTCGATTTTCAAATCCTGGTTCCGATAGACGATCAATGTTCAGCTTGGCTCTGGGATTTGAAGTTCATTTAGGACTTCAATTGCAATATTTACTGTCGTAAAATATGACGATCCAACACGATGGTGGTACGAATGCCTTACGCTTTAGTTTACTGCTTTTTCTTCTTTCTTGATTTTTAAAGGAAACAAGTATTCCGGAAATGGACTCTTTACAGTACGAAGGAAGAATGAGGTTATCTGTGCGAAGTGAAGCGAACGTCGAAGGATATCTTCGAGTTCGAGAAGTGCTCTTATCGATCGGGGTTATTAATCGAGCGTGGAGTTTTCATGTAATACTGGGGGAATGTGGACTGACAGAGGTCGGGGAGGTTACGAAGTTTCCTGCCTTTAGCCCAGATTACTTGTTACGATGAGAGACAAAGTTCTTTTTTTCTTTTTTATTACAATAGAATCGTTTTATAGGGTGGTCCCTCACGGTTCACTCTTACTCTCGTGGGACTTGGCTTGCACTTTACGATAATTGTTAACCTCGAATATACATTTCTTCAAATTCCACCTGAAGTTCGTAGTGTGAAAAAAAAATACAAAAATATTCGAAGATTCTTTAACTGTCAATTTTTCAGCTAAAATCTTCAGATTCGGACGTCCAGTTGTTTTACTTGCCGAAATACAATTATTTACTACCAGATCGAATGCTGTGCCATTACAAGGAAATCAAGCGCGTTAAATACGTATTGAAAGGTACTGAATAGAGGAAAAGAGAGTATTTCGCAGAGCAGCTCTATACGTATAGTCGGTTAGTGAGTTCGATGTGTTTTTCTTTTTTGACAACTCGACAACAACGAAGTTGCCAGCAAAGCACACCTGGCTCTGCATACAGTTTTTATTGCAAACAATGCATGCGCATGATTTTCGACTGAAATATATTTTTTATTTTTCTATTTTAACCTATATTTACATGATCTTGTGCAAGGTCACGTATTTTTGAAATTTGACAGCGAACTGTCAAAAAAAGCACATTGAACTCGTGAACCGATTATATGAGCCTATTAGGATTATCCAATTTCTCATAGAAAAGTCAAGTTACGAACGTAATGTAATTTGGCTCCGATAAGCAACCAGTTACGGTATCACGGAGGCCTTGAACGTTTAGCTGATTTCCAAAAGCATTGCTAAATTCCTTTCAAGGTGATAGGCCGATCGACTTTATTCCAGATATCGCTATTCCATGTATATACGTAATTATGAATATCATACAACAACGTATTTCACGATTTTCTTTCCGTAAGCAGAAAAAAGGAACTATAAAACATCGATACCCCATGAAATTTTTACATGTCTATAAAATGGTAATTTACAAAAAAAAATTAATCCACTGTCTTACTTTACTCCAGTACTAATTTACAGTTCTGTTGGACAGTTGCAGAGAGTTCAATAGGTTGGATAGTTGATTTAATAGATTTGCAAAAGTTTTCTTCAGTAAAGATACAGTGGGGGCCTCGGAAGCGATTAGACGAATTAGTAAGCACACGTGTAAGAGAAACCAGTCAGTAAATTAGATTATCAGTATTCACCGGCGCAACGGAAGAGTCGAAAAGTTTCGAGAGAAAATTTTGAAAACACTTTTCAAAAAAAAAAAAAAAACTTAAAATTAAAAATTATTTTTTAAAAACCTCTTTTCTCACTCGTTATCACTGGCATATATAAGATTTTGATGATTAACGCACATATATGTATATATAGACACAGTGGAGATGAAATTATATGTACATACATAGACGTAATACGAGGCGAACGTATTTATGCATTCTATACAGGGTGGCTAGTTAGTAGCTATGTGGGTAATGTCGGGGAGATACTGCGTGCCAAAAATAACCAAAGTGCTAGCTGGTGGTTCCATATTTAGCTTGAGAGTATGGGACTGACTAGTGGAGGAGCTGCGAGAGACGTCACAGTCATTTGACATTTAATACCCCACGTGTTATTCTATGTTAAATGCTTCAAATGTAGGCTAAGAAAGTTCGACCCTTGTATCCCTGCGAACCGACCGGTCGAAGGGGTGTCGATACAGGAATAAGTATTCCAACTATTGGATTACGGACCGTCACATTGAAATATCCGTGTAACCTTTGAATTCAAAGAGGAAAAGTAAAGTTCGGCTAACTTTGAATAGCCAGAGTACACTGCTCTCTTTTATTCTGTATCTCTTCGAAACAGGATAGAAATTCACATGACAAACTGCCACGTGATTACTAGATAAACCATACACGTGTCTCGACTCTCTCGTGATTTTACGTGAGAAGTAGATAGGAAATATCAAGGGGGCCATATCCTGAGGTAAGTATAC